GTTATCGTCTGTTGTAAACTTTGTGTGATCAGCAAAAAGCTTTTAACCGCGAACTATTCTACATCTAATGTATTGAAGCATCTGCTGAAGCAGCACAGCAATGTGAAACTTAGAGAAAGAAATTCTGAACTCTGCTGTTTGCACTCATGCATGGACTCGTTGGGAGAGAGCGACGTTAAGCATCGTTTTATGTTTTGTAAAAATACTGAATACTGCTCTTTAGGGCTGTGCGAAATGACGATATATATAATTTTATGATAGCAAAACGTCTATTGTTTGAAATTATGCTCTATCGTTAATTTCCGTGTCAGTGTCTCCAATTCAACACTTTTGAGGGGACAAGGAAATTGAAGTTAGTTTTACATTGGATATTAGACAAACTATAAAGTTTTGTCTGTGAAGGTTCTCAGTCATCTAGGCCATAGTTATCCAACAAAGGTTGAGGTCAAGGGCAACTGGACTTGGTAGAAGATACTAGAAGACGTTTTGTCCCTCATCCAAGGCTCTAACGACCATGATGACTGTCGTTACCACAGCCAGGAGCACTGACGAAACAGCAGTATCGACGATGCTAGCTAACGATCCCGTTCTTCCACTCTTGCTGGTGTTGCTGAAAAGAATAACAGATTTGTGAACAATATTTGAGAGAAATAGGTCTTTTGTGTAGAAAGTCTTGGATCTTTGAGTTTGGCTCATGATGAATGGGGGCAAAAACAAAAGTGTTGCATTTATAATTTTGTTCAGTGTAGTTACTTTTATCACCCAGTAATAAGTAAAGTAATATTATTACTATACTACTTATATTACTAAGTAACTAGTAACTTATTACGATTTCTAACTAACTTGCCCAACACTGGTTAGAACTAATACTGCTAATATTATGCATGTACGCTTATGGTTATAATATTACACACGGACAAAAGATTTTCAGGAGACTACTTCCTCTGTTTACTTGGACTCAAAATGTTCGAGATGGTTTCTGTTTGTGCTAGCACAGAGATGGTAACTGTAAAGTAAAAACATCATCAAGATCCGCAATCACACTTGACAAAAAGACACAGTAAGACAAACACTGTCATTTCCCTATACTGTATGGGTGTAAAATGAATGAAGGCAATGGAAGCTGCCCACAGACATGGTCACACAAGCACGTCTGTGTGTGTGTATTAAAATGGTTCACATCAGGCATTAACAACTGCAGAGCTTGATGCTGTTTGAACAAGTTTTTTTTTCAGCCTTGTAGCCGTCATAGTGAACTATCTGGCCTCATTGCATCTCATCATCACAGTTAATAAAGTGAATCATCAAACGTCTTCCCCCTCGCTCTTACCTTCCTCTGTGAGCGCTGCTGCTGTTACGTATCATTTCTCCTGTTTAAATGTTAACCATCACACCCACTTGAGGAGTTTGTTCAGGGAGAAGGGGGAAGCCGTGCTCCTCCTCTTCCACTCCTCTTCCCCGTCTTTATTCACTCTGTCTTCTCTGCCTCTCGTCTCTTGTCCCTTCATCCCTCATTTCCTCCATGATGAAGACCTCTCACTCCAGGCCAGAGGCTGCTCTGTCCCTCTCACATCCACCCACCTCTTCAATAATAAATGGATGCTTTCATGATGAGCTGCTGAGAGTGTTGAATCATAGTCAGTCATGCTTTGGAGAGAGGGGAACAGCTGGGGCATGGCATTCGGACATTTCTGCAGACATGCTTGGTTATTTTAAGAAAATAGTACCTCCTTTTTTCCTATACACACACGGAAACTCTCAGTCCCATTACAATCACCAGTGCAAAGACGGGTGGAAGATGTATTGTACAGTATAGGAGGCTTCTAAACCAACACAGTAACAAATGTATGGCGAAACTAAAATAAAGTCATTAATAGTATTTCATGCTGGTTATCTTTCCCATCCCATTATAAGGCATCATTCCTTTTAATACAATTAGGAGGGTGTGCAAGTCATATAAATATTCCATTAGTATTAACTCAAACAACAGCTTATTCCATTCCACAGTTATAGGTAGTGTATTTTCAATCCATATGGACATTATATTTTTCTGGGCAGCAAATGTAAGAATACGGAACAGCCTACTTTGATGAGAACCCAGAAGCAAAACCTAAAACCTAAGTGATTGTAATCCAATGTACTTTTTGGTAAATTCAGCAAATATTTCCTCACACTTTACTTGCTCTCAGTTCAGTGTGTGCTCTGAAAGAAATCCTGTTTTGCTACTGATAAGAAAGAAGCTCTGGCAGCACCACACCTGTGCATATAGGGTTTTTCAAAGCTATATCCTCAGGTCAACTCAAGCATCTCAGTGGACCACCATGGGACCTTATTTTGGAAAAATACTGTACGGTAGTCAATGACGAGGGACAACAAATATTTTGATCCTGTTTGAATTGTGCCCTGAATTACACATATGATGTTTGTCAATTTAAAAGATTTTAAAGTCAAGAAAGTCGCAGTTTGATGTAAAACTGTTCAGGTATAAGACTGTGAAAATACATAATTATAAAGACCACAAACCCAAAAGTCGTGTATGTGACGTCGTAACTGTCTCTCTCAGTGACTGAAGCTAACGTTTCTGAAGCTAACGTCAAAAAACTTACATGAGAGGATGATGTGGTAAAAGGACTGAGAGTCGTTGGATTAAACACATCAGGTGAGATTTATTTCTGCGTGGAACACAGCTAAGTTATCTAGCTAGTAGCAACCAAGCAACGAACGTTAGTTAGCATTACCACGCTAACATGTTGGTGACGTATATTGTGCGAGACGAGAGATGTAGCTCAGTGAACGGATTTCACCCAAAACGACATGTAACTTTACTGTTTTACGACAAACTGCGACTTTCTTGACTTGCAAAATTATATTTTAAATTGACCAACATCATATGTGTAATTCAAGGCTAAATTCTAAGGGGATAAAAAAATAAGTTATCTCTCGCCATTGACTACCGTACTTATTTTTTCCGAAATAAGGTCCCATGAGCTGGGAGCGGAAGTGAGTGACTTAGGTTCTCTATACTACATCACTCTAGAGATGGAGAATGATTGGGTCTGCCAGGCTATCTAAGGACATCATACTTCGGGGTCTGAGGAAAAGGCCAGGCAGCTGTCAACTGAAAAGCTAAATACGAGCAGAACAATATCACCAACTGTAGCAGTTGTGCTATATGCAGCTATAGTGACTGTCTCCTCTGTGTAAGTACAGTTCTTTGCATCAGCTGAGGTTTTAACCACATGGGCCATTCTGAAGCAAGCATGTTGCAAAGGTCTGTTAACCTTTATGCTGACACTTCCTATTTGTGGACAGCTGGGCCTGTCTAGTGCTACATACTAAACCACAGTCATCTTGAGAACTGAAACAGAGCACTTAAGTACAGTAGTGACAGTCCGTGTGGTTACAGTTAGGACTGTGCTCACTGCAGGTTTCTTTTAAGGAGTGCAGATTGGTGTGAGAGATTCAAGTAAAGTACCTATTTCTTCCTCAGTGGTTTTATCATTCTAGCTTTAATAGAGGCTCTCAGTCTGTTTTATAATGTCCAAACACAAGGTTCAAATGACAAATGTGGGTCCAAGGGTCTTGTGGTGTCCGCTACGTCTCCTACAAAATGCTAAACAGAAAAATTGGTCTATTATTTCTATTATTATTTGTTAAAACTGATCTAATTTGGAGAACGCATGAAATACCTTCAGATTTGCTTCCAGTGGACTGAAGCGACCCGTTTCTCCTCCTAAAATGAGCACGCAAACTCTAGCAAACAACGAGCTTCTGTTATGTCAAAGGCTTTGGGAGAAAAACTAACATTAACATAGCACTTTTGACTGACCTCCACAGGATGGATGTTCATAATGGTGTTATGTAATGAAGCACAGGTAGACCTAACCAGCATCTCAATATAAAACAGTGGTATTCTGCTCTTATATGCACTACAGCTATGCAGAGTGTATGGTTTTAGATGGGCCATGAGGATTGCGTTGAATTGAATCAAAGCAAAAATGACTTAATTTCCTTCCAAAATTCAAGTTTGTTGTTGACGCAGTTTGACGCACGTAATCTAATCATAACAGCACTTAGATTTCATTCTAAATTAATCTTTTTCAAACAGATCGATTATTTCTACATTATTGCAACTTTTTCTTATAAAACTGTAATATTTAAACTTTTTTTCAACATATTACCACTTCATTTTGTAATGTGACTTAGATAACTGAATGTTTTTAGAAAAAACAATGACCCAAACACTCGTTTGTATTAGATTATATGCTGTATTTCTTGGCAAAAGTGTAACCAAATCAGCAAAGAATATCTGCCTGCTTTGGCAAACTAGGTTTGGAACGTCGAGGTCACTTAATAAGAAACGAGCATCAGTCTTAATTCAGTGAACTAGCAGTGTGTGTGATAACAATGCACTTGTTTTTCCTTCAGATATACGCTCACGTTCCTAAAATGCTAATGGCTTGACGTTAACACCCACCCCACACCCCCCACTTCACCGGCATGACACTAGTAAACACTTGCATGACAATGGTGCTGTTCCGGCCTTGGCTGCTGCCATTGTATATTAATGTGGATGGCAGTTTATAATTCATGGGACAGGATTACTTGGGAGTGCTGGTCCCAGTCCTGCTCCTAGCACTGACACAGTGAGTACTAACAACACTGGACATGCCTCGCACTCCGCTGCCCAGCCCAATGCCCATTATAATAATATATTCAAGGATTAAAGGGGTTTTATCTTAGACACCCATGAATTATGAATGTGGGATTTCAAAATTTAATTGCCCTGAATTAAATGATGCAAGATAATGTTTCTTTTATAAATTGGTAATAGGGCCGAGGGGGGCAAAGAAGGGGAAAAGACATTAAATAAACCTTTTCCCCCCGAACAAAAGGAGAAGGGAAATGAATAATAGACGGATGGTGACCTCGTGTCTCTGGAGGAGGAGATGGCTTGATCCAAAGATAGACAGCTGAAAAACAACACTACACACAAGAGGTGAGAAATGAGATGAAGTTTAATCTCTTCAGGACAAGTTGCCTTATCAACTCTAGCTTTGACTGTACAGTCCAGGGTTGGTTTTACACAGAGAAACCCACAACTACTGCATATGGTGAAATGTGAGGAGTCCGGTTCAACTGGATAGCAACGTACCTGGTCAGGAGTTGTTGAGTCTAAGGTTAAAGCTAGGAGCTCTCCCTCACACTCTCACACACACACACACACGCGCGCTATGGTACAGAGGTCTTTAGAAAAGCAGCAAACAGACTGAATGTTACCAGTAAGGTTGGTAAAAGTACATGATTGCATAAAAAATACAGATTTGTGATGGAAAAGTGCTCAAACCACAGAATGACCGTGACACATCAAACGTGATACAAAACATGAGCATCATGTGGTACAAAGTGGCCATAAACATCTGACCTAAGGAGAACACCTAGATTTGGTCGTACCACTTGAAGGGAGAACACAGCGGCAGTGAGAATTCATTGCCTTTCACACGACCGTCAGCTGACAACATGGCAAGGTTAGTTTAATCCTAACTTTACGGGTTAACTAGGAGTGAGCCCAACTTACATTTTAGCTGGTCGATTCTAACCAACTATCTATCTATTCTAACTATCACCAAGCCAAAGCCGAGGTTCACTGACAGTCACAGGAGGTACTTACATCTGTTTCTATAGGAAAAAGTGTAATCAAACCAGTGGTGCTAATCATCGATGTTAGCAAACACTTATTTCCATATCAAGTAGAGGAGACCAGGTTATAAAACTTTATTTCGATTAGTCAAAGAATGTGGAAACCACTTTTAACAGAACTATTAACAGGTCTCTGTAACTTTAAAGAAAGTGTTCAACTTTATGGTAAATATGCTTTTTCACTTTCTTACTGGGAACTAGATGAGAAGATCAATAACTCTTATGTCTGTGTTAGGTGCAGAGCTGGAACCGGGAGGTGATTAGCCTCATTAGCATATAGCAAGGATAGGCTAGTTTCAGCACATGACTCCCCCTAAAACCAAAGTTCTCACTTTGTGTAGCCTAAAGACAACTGGTTGATTTATTGATTAGTCGGTCGACATAAAATGAATCGTCAACTATTTTGATAAGCAATATATTGTTTAAGTCATTTTTGAATCAAAGAATGGTGGAAAGACTGGAAGCCTATAAATATTTTCTGGTTTTGTTACTCTTTAATGAGAGTAAGATGAAGTGGATTTGGCTTGTTGGTCGGAAAAAAACGCAATTTCTTACCTTCGTTACCTTGAGCTCTGGGAAACTGATGGATCCATCGAGAGCGTTCTGTACTTTTGGAACAGTACTTACTTAACTTTACTTAAAAAAAGTCTTAACTGAAGGTACACTTAATAGTGTGTTTGGGAGGCTTTCAACCACATCTCACAGTCTTCATCAGTAAATGGCATTTCCTCACACTATAGTAACTACGGTACTTCGATCACATGGAAACAGTTGGCTGTGTGTTCGGCCTCAGTACAATCATTTGGTTTATGCTTTGTCTACACATATATTTGGCTTTATATATACAAACCCACACTTATTATTACTGCTGTTTTTCACCTATACACCTTCCCTAAATATATAATGTATGGCTTGTAGTTACAGTCCAGGCACACCACACTAAACTCCTCCAACAGCCTACACGAGTCTCATGTTCTGCCTGTAAGGCTCATGTTCGAATGCCTTTGTTGGTCATCTGTGATGGACACAGTCAGAGACATAATAAGTGTGTCACGCTCAAATTTCAGTTATAGTCCCCTCTCCTGACTGGCTGCTGATGCCACTGTCAGCTGAAGATTGATTCACACTGGGGGGGCAGCAAGGGGAGCGTCTGGTTCAGAAGTAGTTTAGCCGACTTCACTGACTGCCGTCGACCTTCTCCATATCCCTTGTTCCATTACTTTTGTAGTGAGGTCATGTTAGGAAAACAATCTGATTCGACTGACGCAATGCGAGTGGACTCTGGTTTTCGTGATTCCGATTGTTAGGGAGACAGCCTATACGGCCACTTGTTATCGTCCGACCAGGGTACCGTACTACGTACTATGTGAGGGCACTGATGAAGACCCTGTGAATTGTGGTGGAAACCTCCGATAAAAATAGTAGGTTGAGCTTGACTTTATTTCATCCAAGTATATCAATCATGTTTATGTAAAAATGAGCCACGTACAGTAGCACTATAAACAACACTGTGTCGCTGCGTTACTGTAGAAGAGCTGAAGCACATAGTAGTTAGTGGGTGAGATAACGAGGTGACACAATGGGTGAAACTGGGAGTACCCATGACTACGCACTTATGAAAAGGTTAAATGTTCTAACTGATAAGAAAGCTGCACGTTTTCCCCTCCACGATGCATCGACTGTCAGTGATTCAGTCAGTATTGGCTTTGTATCAGTGCAAAAGAGTCGGAGTAGTTGGGGCCACCCCTACAGTTAACACAAACTAAGGAGAGCAAGAACCTGCTGACAGTGCTTCTGTGTTTTTCATACAATAAGCGTCATGTTGAAATCGCCTCATTTTAAGGCAGACGAGCAAAAAGCTTCCAACAGGAGACCTCACATGAACCGCCATCGTCCTCAGTGCTGTATATGGCTTTCTCAAGGGCAACAACAGTCAGCGCTGCTCACTCATCACTCCCTTTTGTTGGCATCTGCAGAGAATCACTGCAGTACATTCACAAAGATACATTTTAAAACAAAATAAAACTAAAATTCTTTGTTTCTTAGTGAGGGCTGAAGCTATGTAATGATGGGAATTTGATGGTAAAAATAACGTTTTTTACTGAAAAAGCAAAAACCATCTTCCATTTTGGCCTGTCATACTGAAACATAACAGGTACCATTCACCGTTCTATGTTTTCCTTCAGTTATTTTGCTCAAAGTGATTTTAACCAGAAAAAAAGGGAGTAGATGGCCTTGACTCAGTAGCACACCACGAAATGCACTAGAGAATACGATTGTCAACTCAAAACATACTGGACATATATGGAGACAAACTGCCGTAATAAAACAACCAATTCACGAGATTAGAGAGATTTTGGCTTTGTGGAAATAACATTCACCTAATAACTTGCTGGAACCAGTTTGTGCCCCCCCACCCCTGCTTTCTTCCTATGCTGTAGGCCTCGAAATGTTTGAATGTAAACGTAGGTTTGAAACTTACAACGTAAAACAAAAGCAAATTTTAAATCAAATCCTGTTCTGCGCAGAGGGCTGAGGGACACGCCGGCAGTATTTTTTAAACAAGTTCAGCAGCGGACAACTAAGAAAAGCCACGCTGGATGAACATACAGTCGGAAAAGTTCTGCGACTTTGAATTAAAATTTTTTCAGCTTCTATATTTCTGAGTCATTTAAGAGACACAAAAATAAATAAATAGCATGGGCTGTGGCAGTAAGTTTACTCATTCACTGTTCTCTTTGGGATTATCTTCAGTTCGACTGGCACTTAGGTTGGCCACTTCCCTTTGGCCCTTCTTGCTTGAACTTTCATTCGAGTCCAAAGCTGAATGCACATCTTTGCTGACCTTCTCCCGAGTCTCCTCCTGCACTGGCTCTCCGTTAGCCTCCATATCTATCCCATACACAGCCTTCTCCCCGTTCAGTAGGAGACTGTGCTCATCCACCTGGATCTCTTGGCTTTCTTGCACCTCCTCTAGCTTGCGCAGGATAATAGGAAGCTTTGCATCTGCATCAGTGTTCTCCAGCAAAGCGATATCGCTCTCCTCGTAGCGAGGCAGCGGAGCGCCCTCCTCTAGCTTTTTCTCAAAGTGCAGACGTTTGGCCCGTCCGCTGGCCGACGCCTTCTCCAGGATCTGCTTCTCGGCCAGGCGGAGCTGGATCGCCAGGCGAGAATGGAGAGATAGATCAGGTTTCTCAAGCATGGAGCGGTCCTCCTAGAAGAGTCCAGGCCAGGAGTTAAGAGGTGAAGAAAAAGAGAAGAAAGAGGGAGGCAAACATGACAACAGGTCATAAGAAAAGGGACTGTGGCTATTCGGAGGAGGTATAAAAACTCCTGGCGACCCCGCGTACGTTGTTTTTGCCATACTTAACCTCTGTCACCCTCTGCAATCAGACACCCACATTATAACTTACAACATAACTTAAATTCCGGACGACTGACCTCTGAGGTGGTCTTGTAGGTCTTGAGCAACAGAGCAGCTCGGGTCTCGAGGAAAGTCCACAACTTGATCTCGTTCTCCCAGCTGACCGGGAACTCGCTGTTGCCTAAGGTGAAGATCTTATTGATGGCACGGTCTCCGAGCAGGTAGTCCTTCAGCTCCTCTGAAATTAAACTAAATGTTAGCATCTCTTCAAAAGAAACCAAAGCCACTGCAAGACCTCATAGCCCTTTACATATGGAGCAGGTCTAGACTGTACTGTTTGTAATATAAACTACAGAGACGTAATAAGGTGCTATGAGTTCTTTAATGTATCAGGTCATAATTGCTGCTAGCTGCCACTGCTAGTTAGCTCAGTTAGCCATACAGCTAACTTGGCGGTCCTATTAGGTGACCGAGTCTGGAAAGGGCACCAGAACTGGAGCTGTACGAGCGGGCAACAGAACCGGGTTCAGCAGCCTCCCGGTGGTCCCGGCCGGACTGAACACAGCCTCCGAGGTCAGTTTGATGACAGGGAATACAGCCCTGTGGTGATGTACAGCAGCGGCCAACAGTACTCTGACTCCGGGGATGATGAAGACACAGCGGGTTCAGGCGAGGACAGGAAAGACATCAAGTGGGAGAGGAGGGCAAGAGAGGTCGACCATCAGAGAGGCAGCGACAGCGTGTAGATTTTCACATCAGACTCACTGAATTAACTTCCACCAATCTCATTTATAAATGGTGCGTACGTACAAAACAGGGCTGGAAACTTGCAATGCGTACACGTCTGACTGGTACTTCTTTGCATTTTGCTGATCATGTTAGTTCATTTTTTTTTAATGTTTCAAACTAAACAATTGGCCAAATCTTACACATAGCACCTTTAAACTTCCAACACTGTCTGGTTATATCCTGAACATAATTTTGGTGAAGATCAACTTTACATGGTTAAATGGGAAGGTGAAAGAGGGGAACTGCACATGGTTGTGTGCGCACATCATTCCATCATGTCACATCTGTTAAGAATTTTTGACACACACGCAAGAGATGCTATACACCCCACCCCCCTCCCCGCACACACACACAGTGTCGCACAAATCCAAAGGCGTTGGGGCCATTTAAAAATTAACATGCAGCAAAAAATGTGAATAATATATCAAACAGGGTCCTGAAGAGGAGTCCTGTGACAGAGGAGGATGTGGCTTGTGTGGTTGGGGATTTATGACACCGGTGCTATTCCGCATACATGCCGATGAATATTGCAAATCCTGGTGGATTGCTCCTTCCACACATCTGGTGGCCTGCCTTGATCAATTAACCAGCCCAGGAATGGACAGGCCTTGCTCTTCCCCTCCCTTTCCCCTCTGCCTCCACCTCCTCTCCGTCTCTTCCTCACCGCTGAAGTGCGAAGGAAGCAGTCGCTTGACGCCGGTCTCGGAGGAGCGTCGGAAACTGATGTGTTGATGCGATGTGTGTGCCACCGGGTTTGTGGTGTCGAGGGTCCACACCGTTTGTGTGTGTGTGTGTGTGTGTTGGGGTATCTTTCAGTGGCTTACCCTCTGTCATGCAGAACACTCTGAGGAAGGCTAGAAGCTGGGCTGAAATGGGGGGTTCATTACAGTGCAAAGCGAAGATACAGGACCTGAAAACACACACACACACAAAACACACACACACACACACACACACACGACAAAAGAAAATCTGAGCATGTACATTGTTGACATATTTCACACACAAATAGACTATTCATATAGCACAATAAGCCTGTAGTGACAGCAGCACTAAACTGCAGACAGATGTTGACGAAATAGCTATAAAAACATTTTGGTGAGATGAGAAGATTAATCGCTGCCTCATGTCTGTTTTCAGTACAGCTGGACTCAGGAGGTGGTTAGCCTAGCTTAGCTTACAGACTGGGCACAGCGGGAAACAGCTAGACTGGCTCTGTCAAAAGATGAAAAATGTGCCCACACGCAGGAACTACTTCTTGATGAGCAACAGCCGGGTGCAGTGACTGTATGCAGCTTCCTGGAGTAACAGCGCCTTCCTACCCAGGGGGCGGCTGTTGCTAAGGAGGTCGGCCAATAATCGGCAGACTGGCGGCTCGATCTTCCGTTTCTCCAGTTTGCATGTGGGAGTGCCCTTGGGCAAGATACCGAACCCCAAATAGCCCCTGATGGCTGCGCTGTCGATGTGTGAATGTTACTTTCTGTTTCTGATTAGCAGTCGGCACCTTAGCCTCTGCCATCTGTGTATGAACGGGACGCACAGTGTAAAAAGCTAACAGACTGAAGCTGGCAACCTGGAGACAGTACACGTAAATGCTGGGAGTACTAATAAACTGTTCAGTAGCGAGCATTAGAGTTGTTGGTAGGTGTACCTTTTAACTTTGAAGAGAGCCAGGCTAGCTTTGGGTTGCAGGGATCAACAAATCTGAAATATTGAGCTTTTACACACAAAAAAAGCTTGATTTTCACAAAACTAGCTTTGAATGTACGGCCGAGGACACCACCTCTGCCTGCATGTCGTCCGACTGTATCAAATCTAATTCTTGTCTTTCTTGTGTCTCTCTAAACACAATATTAATTTGCTGTTTGAGGTATTTCTCAGGATGGTGAAAGCCAGCAGCGCCACAGAAAAGATATGAAACAAGTGAGATCCAGGACTCAGCAGAATCCATTCCACATCATAACATTACACACCGAGGTAATTTGGGAGAGGACAATATTCCCCACCCCCCTATTTCAGCAAAGTGATCGATGTGGCGATCGGTAGCACAGGGTCGACATTATTACAACCGCACAAACGCATTACAGCCGTCTCCCTGCTCTTCCTATTGAATTAACCCTCTGTCCACTGCTCCAGCAAACCAGCCCAGGAAAGTTAACTCTGGGTAGAAAATGCTGTACTCTAATGCCCTGCGTGTTTAAAGGTTTTGCAGACTTCGGAAGAAGAGCTAATTACAAACTTGTAAATGAATAGTCCAATGTGCTCACTTAATTCCACTTATCAGACTGTTAAACGACTAAAGTAGAGGCAAAAGGAGTAAATTCCACGTTGTAAAAAGAGTCTGATGATAGCAGCCGCTCAATATCTCGGCGAGGCCCGCTTCCTTTGAAAATGATCTACGAGCATATCTGTCAGTTTAATGGAGCACCCCGGCAACAACAGGGATTGTTTCATTTAATTTCCACTGTTGAGATTTAGACTGTCATCAATAAGAGATTAAAAGGCGTCTGATTAAAAATGCCGAGCAGAGAATGCTGCATAAAATTAAGGGGCTAATGATAAAATGATTAAGCTTCTTGGTGATGAAAGTGTTGGGGCGGATGGTAAATTGATACGTGGTGGGGTGGGAGAGAAGAAAAGAAACCTGCTGCAACATTTATATTATGTGTTTCAATTACGCCAAAGGGGGGCCTAATTGGTTGAAATAGCTACTGTTGGAAGACAAAAGTGCACCGTGGTTCTATAAAAAGGTTGACGGAGTTAGACGTGAACCTGAAGCTCTCTTTGACCCATATTAAAAGCTTTGGAGTAAAATGCACCGAGCTCACAGATTCAGTCATTTACGAGAGCAGACAGTGTGTTTGAGAAGAGAAAAGAAGAGCAATGTTTGTCCTTGGACTGGAGAGTAAAAAGCTTGTAAACATACGCTGGGATGCCAGCTCGTGCCAGCACTTCGGCCTTCATGGCGTAGAGGCGCTCGCTCTTACTGACGCCCAGCTTGATCTTTACTCGGTCATGGGCGTTGTCTTGGAAGAAGAAGCCGTTGTGGATGACAAACTCAGCGTTGGATCTCGTGCCATAGAAGATGTAGATCTACAGGGAGAAGAAATCAGCAGCGTAAACAGTGTTATCATCACCTGTCTGGATGGCAGCCTTTTAATACACAACATTTTAACCCTCTCAGCCACAAACCTCAGTCTTATTTTATTCCTCGCATTCTTTGCCTGCATTACACCACAGTGCAACAGGAAATTGGGTGCGTTATCCCTCCTACTGTGCTGTGATTGGCTAGGTCCACCGGTTTTTCTGTTGAATTTTCGGCAATCCCGCTAGCAACACTAGTGACACTACTGACGTGGACATTTTAACGTTTGTAACAATGCAAACATAAATATATTTTAAATCCTTTTATCTGCAGAGGGGATGCTACTCTGCTTAACTCTAATTTAACCCCTTGTTCTTCTCAGCATCAAGTGTTTTTTGTGGTAGCACAAAATGCATCTGAAGTTAACCGTTCTGAATTTGAAATATTCAAACCGAATATTGTAAGACAAATTTGAAATTATATTTCAAAGAGTGAAATTTAATCTAATGCCTTGAAACTGAATTTAACTTCCTAATTAAATATCTCAAAATTCTCTATATTAGCATAGAAGAGCTCTGATTCAATCCAATTCCTTTCAAAGGGCTTCCTCAGATCGCAAGGCTTTCTGGGTATGGAGGCCACGAGGGCAGCTGTGTGGTCTCTCACATTTTCTCATAGCTAACAAAAGAACTAGTGTCACAGCAAATGTCTCACCTTGTATCTCATAATGTAAACAGGAAGTAGATCAATAAGTCAGGGGGAACAGGTGTGACTTCTGACTGAAGAGTAAAACAATCTTCATGGCAAAACTACAGATGCATTATATGTAAATCTGAAAATTATGATGAATCCATCTTCCATTTCTAAGCACAGAAAGTCACTTTCTGATGACCGTACTAGCATTGAGCTGTGAGCGTTTGCAAACAGAGGGAAGCAAAACAGACAATAAGGACCAAAGTGTGAGTAGTAGGAGAGTGCAGGCCTCTTCACCTGGTCGTTCTCCTTGTAGTCCTGCAGTGCCACACATTCACAGCGATCATCCTCCAGGTTGTAGCCGGTGGTGATCTGCAGATCGACAATTCCACCCTTACAAGAGCTCAATAAATAAATCTTTCTGGCCATGCAGGATTGTATGTGTATGTTTTTATTTGTGAAGGCAATGTTTTCCCACTTGATGATACTGAAAGCATGAACTCCTGGAATATGTAATTCTAATTGTGTCCAACGATGGCAGAAGTCAAAAACATTTCTTCATCAGTTTACAATAATGTACTGTCTGTGTGTGTGTGCGTGTGTGTGTGTGTGTGTGCGCGAGTGAGTGAGTGAGTTAGTGAGAAAGACTGTACCAGTCCATTTGTGTGGTTACACATGTCCCAGAGGGGGATGAGGGCCAGAGTGACCCGACTGCCGTCCTCAGTAGGGATCTGGTTCTGACGGGTCATCACAGAGGACACCGCCCACCTGTCACAAAGAATCAACCAATCACTGCTTGTTACAGGGAAGTTAATTTACATCCTGGACAACAGCAGCTCTTGCTTCATGAAGGAGAAGGAAGCTCATCAAATCTAACACTACTGGAGAGAGCAAAGGAAGGAGGACAGATAGAAGGAATAAATCATCAGCGGCCCACTTTTTCTACTTTAACATGCGATAACGTAGCTTCATAGATAACTCCTGTTCATCACTACTTGTGTTGCGTTTCGTGGATTTGGCCGTTACTGGTAACACTGCACGCACCAAGTTAGTTGGTGGAATCTGACAACACAGTTGTTGCTACGATCAAGTCAGATGGACCAAGAACACAATCAGCCAGACGAACATGTGAAGGCTGTTAACACGCCGACAGCTGTCTAAACTAGGAGTGGGGGAAACCATCACTGAAGGATAAAAATTCTGAAGTCAATCACACGTTGGATATTTGATTATTCTATTAAATTTTTTTATACTGCCAATTCATAACAGAATGATCTCATGGTCATATAGAGCAGGTCTAGACTGTACTCTTTGTAACATACAAATTATTACAAATGACTGGAACTTATATTTTCCCACTATGTCGACGGACAGAAAAGGTGGGAACGCACCTGCAGTCATCTAGACGACTTCTTCAATGAACGGGGGGCTCATTTTAGATCCATCATGTCAAAAGGGAGGAAATATGCAAGCGCTGCAAAATGAAGGTGAAGTACAGCGCTTCACATTTTTCACACACATAATGAGTGAAATTCATTATTTTCCTCAAAATTCCCCATAATGACAATGTGAGAGATTTGTTTGAAATCTTTGCAAATATATTAAAAATAAAAATCTGAAAAAGCACATTTACATAAGTAATTTCTCCCATTCTTCTTTGCAGGACCTCTCGAGCTCCATCAGGCTGGGTGGGGAGCGTCAGTGCACAGCCATTTTCAGAGCTCTGGCTGGACATTCAGAGAGTTGTCCTGTAGCCACTCCTTTGTTACCTTGGCTGTGTGCTTAGGGTCACTGTCCTGTTGGAAGATGAACCTTCGCCCCAGTCTGAGGTCCACAGCGCTCTGGAGCGGGTTTTTAAAATCACGGATGTCTCTGTACGTTGCTGCATTTCATCTTTCCCTCGATCCTGACTAGTCTCCCAGTACCTGCCAGCTCTGTGCCTTTCCAAATCGTGTCCAATCAACTGAATTTACCACTGGTGGACTCCAATCAAGTTGTAGAAACATCTCAAGGATGATCACAGGAAACAGGATGCACCCTTTTTTTTTGTTTTTTTAATTTGATAAATTTGCAAAGATTTCAAGTCTTTCATGTTGTCATTATGGGGTTAGTAGAATTTTTTGGAAAGGCATGAATTTCATCCATTTTGGAATAAGGCTGTAACAAAACAAAATGTGGACAAAGTGACGTTGCTGTGAATACACTGTATTTAGGGAATACTACAAACATAAAAAGCCAGAGATGATTTCATTTCCAAAGACCTGCACCTGTACAGTGTTGTGGATAATGATGGGTTTCCCTGGTACTAGTGTAGCAACAGAGGGCTGGGCACACAGAACCAGCACAGCAGGGCACATGTAGACCAACTGCTCTCTCTACTGAAGAGTCCACATCTTCTGCCTGCAACGTGTTTTCCCAGTGACTGCAGTTACCTTTACAAACAAAACGGCTGTGTACATGTTTGTTCAGTCGGACAGTCTCCTCCATCAAACGCACCCTAGTGGAATTGTAATATCATTTCTCGTGTCATGCACATGCTCACATGGCTTATAAGACACAAAAAAAATACAGCTGCAGTGGTGAAACATTTGTCAGACATGAACATTTCATACAAAGAACACCGTCTCCCGAAAGAAGGTTCAATATCTAAAAGACAGCTATACACCTGCAACCACAAGAGCTCAATCATTTTGTCCAGGTACGTTTCACACTGCAATATGAACGGTTTAGCACACGCTGCCTTGTAGTAAGAGCTGGAAGACTGTGTGCCCTGCTATGCTTAGTGAATTCTGAAACAGCAGGACTTAAAATCAAATTGTGAGATTGACAGAGATGCTCATTCCTACTCATAGCCCTGATCTGGAAGATATGTAGGTAATAATCCCTTATTGCACAGGAAAACTGTGAGCACACAAATACAGTAAATCCAAGTTTAACTAATCGGCCCAAATGTAAATTCTGATGGATGTTTAGAACAGACATTCAATTTTACTGTTTGCCTTCAGTTTCTCAGGTTTGCTTCCAACCTGTCTGATTGCCTGAACGCTGTTTTTTTTTTGTCTGACTTCTTTTTTAGCAACGTTTCCGTGTTCTCTGATCTCAGTGCAATGTTACCATTCTCAATAGGAACGGTGGCCAAACCTATGAATATAAAGGATAAACCAGAATAATTCTTTTGCATTTGCTCCAGTTTATAGAAACAGCTTGCATAAACAGGTAGAGGATGATGCTAACAATCTAAAAACAGGCCCACTCTGCGCACACACACACACACACACACACACACACTGACCTGTAGTCATCAAATGTGAAGCTGTCCTTCAGGGGCAGTTTGCTGGCGGCAGGATGAGTCTGGGGATGGAGGGAAGAAGATGGACGAGAGGAAAAACGGGAGAAAGAAGAGGGGGGGAGAAAAAAAAAAAAAAAACACAAATCAGAATTCTGAGGAATTTCATTATGCAGGTATGCTGGAGGGGGGCTGCCTGACAGGGACGCCTAACGAGAAGGACTGGGAGTAGGGGGCCACCGCTGGGGCGCGCATCTGTGTGTGCGCGTGTGGTCGGTTGGTGCAGTGTGACACTCGCCCCCCCACATACATCACTGTCAACTTAATTTGTTGTAGCCAGCAGCCGTCATAAATCTGCCTCATCAGGTTGGGCCCTGAAACCGGGCGTGTGTTGGAGAGTGTGTGTCCGTCGATGCCACGGTTTCTCCATTTAAAGCCACAGCCGCCACCTAACCCGAGCCACTGGCAAACACTCCTGAGCTTAAGCAGCAGAGAGGAACACATAATGAAGAAAAGGAGGAGACAGAGGGAAATGGAAGGAGGGGGCAAAGAGTGAGAACTAAATAAGAAAGAGTAGAAGAAGAGAGAAAGAACCAATGTGAGCCTATGAGGAAGAGTATTCGCTGTAAGTCAGCTATAAGCGCATAAAGAGGAACTGATTGATGACTGATGTCATTTATTATCATTTTGATACGCTAATAGCCTGTTAGTCAGCTTGGCCCCCACAGGACCATCCAGCTGAGTCTGCAGCTTTAGAATAAAGGAATAGTTTTGTTGCTGAGAGTTAGATGGAGGTCCGGGCAAACTGAAAATGGAAATCAAGTTATTACTATATACACACACACACACACACACACACACACAAGTTTCTTTTCAGTTCAAGGGTTACATAAATGATAGCTGGCTGTATTAGCCGTCTTAGCGCCTGCTACATTTTATGGGACTGCCGTGACTCTGGCTCTGGCTAGCAAATTTAACGGTCACATTTACGAGAGGAAAAGTGTCTGCACGACATGTTTCAATCATATTTTGTAAAAGAAAAGAAAAAAAAAAGAAAAAAAAAATAGACAAAAATCATGAATCGTCCCCAAGCTTGAACAAACAGACGGTGCCCAGTGAAAACAGATTGGTACCACTCGTGTCTGCGTGTCACGTGCAGAGTTGAAGTGAGCACACGGCGCTTAGCTTAGCAAAATGTGATTTTACCAACACCTCTAAAGAGCACATCACTAATTAATAAAATATATCTTGTTTGTTTGATCTGTGCATAGATTGAATGTAAAACTGATCATTTGTGATTTTAGGAATTATTTCTTGACAAATCCATCCACCTAGCACTTCTGTGCTCAACAGAGTCAGGCTAGCTGTTTTCCCGCTTCCAGTCCTTGTGCTAAGCTAAGCTTACCATGTCCTGACTCCAGATCTGTATTTACCACATAGACATAAATTTGATATCGATGGGGTCATGTTACATTTGGAAAGAAAGTGAATGCTAATGTCCCTCTGTATCAGATGGATGTGTAAATAAGCAACTGTCTGCTAACTCCTTCACTATATAAACTTAATCAGCTGATGATATGTTGTGTTCACAATTTGTTGCACTTATAGTTGGGAGCTGCGGCCATTGAAAGTGTGAGAAAGCTATGATATTTGAGATGAAAAAGTAATCCGCTGCTGAACAACGACAATAAAAGCCGCGTTCACAGTATTCTTCTCATGGGATTCAAGTTTTTCCTGCAGTTTCTTATTCATGTTTGAGTTTCTAACAACAACAACAACAACAAAATAGCTCATCTCTGCGTTGCTTTTTGGCAAACAAGCAATAGTTTTCATGGCTACTACTACAACTCCGGTGCAGCATCAAGCTTGTTTTCATGATGATCAAGATCAGTGAGAACTGAAACCCTACCACCATTTAACACCTCTGCTCCTTCACTCGCACACCCCCCCACCCACCTCAGGGTAAAACAGGCTGGTCACATCAAATTTCAACCTCGTGAGGTGAATAGCTGCTCTGTGTGTGTGTGTGTGTGTGTGTGTGTGTGTGTGTGTGTGTGTGTGTGTGTGAATATACAGAGGTGACACTGATTCATCCCTACAGGTGAGTGTGGAGGATCATGCTTGTCAAGTTCAACAAAGTGACCAGGCTTCTATCTTACACAGAGAACCAGAAACAATTATCTTTGCTCTGTTTGCCTCTCTCCTACCAGAGGAGGGTGAGGTAAGAGCTTGGGGGGGGGGGGGGGACTGAGGTCGAGGACAGATTACAGGAAGTGTCCCACATGTTGACATGGTGATTCCTGATGTGAAAGACTTCTTCCTCACTACTGTGCTGGGGTGAAGGCGGTGTGGTTGGTTGGTTGTTCTGTTATTTGGAACTACCACTAAGCTGGCATACATATTCTCTGTTTTACTACCACTCCAAATTCTCTTTTCAAACTTTACATCATGATATTTTCTCACTGTTCCTCAACACAGACCACCAGGAGTTTCCTGGATAATTTAACATTACCATAGGTTCACATCACATCGTGTCTTTCTTATGCTGGCCGCACACTAGAGGATAACAGCAACAGCCAATGAGAGCGAGCTGACCGGGAAGTGTCACCAACGTGTTTATCTGGTGCCGATTCCCTCTTCTCAGCCTGAAGTTCATCCACAGTTTTATTCTTTTTTTTTTTCTTCCCCCTGTGCAAAACAGCGCACACAAGTGCAACCAGCTGACGAATGACAGTCTGCCTCCATGTTTGTTTATGTCAGAAGTCATGTCTGATCACACGAGTAAGGCTGTAAGATTAATCTTATCGCAATTGCAGGGTGACCCTTTGCGATTACATAACCGCTAAAATGTGCAATTTAATTAGACAAAAAAAGTGTGCTGTGTCCGACACTCTAGTCTCTGTGCGCAGGGCTGTCTGCTCATTATCCAGGCCACACAGGGCTCTACAGAGTGACATTTTCACTCGCATATGCCCCTAAACACAGATACGTGTGAACCAGAAAAATGATTTATGAGCAGTGTGTTGTGCGTTAAAAGACTACAGCCTATCGTTACCCATGAACCTCGGCCACTGATGCTATGGAGAGGAAGCTAGTCAGAGGCGAGCTGACCATAATATATACAGGATACTTTGTACTTGTAAGTGGGAATAAAACAAAACGCCATAGCTGCCGAATTCATTTGGTAACGTCACAGTTGTCTACACAGCCTGAGGACAGCCACTACTAGGCTCCGTGGACCGCAACATTGTATTGTGGGTACAGGAAGACAAACAAAGCACTGAAACGTCATTGAAAACAGCCAGTGGTCGGAAGACACAACGTCAACCATTGCATACACTGACTGGAGCATTTTTCATGGTAATCTGAATGACAGGGTCAACATACTCGCAGTTTTCATCAAGTTTTGCATAACAACCCCCACCCCAGTCAGAAAAGTAAAGAGGTATCCCAACTCAAAACCACGGATCACTCCCCACATTTAACAGCTTTTCACTGAAAGGACTGGATTTCCCTCAAAGCAAACCGCTCTGTGAAAAATGAAATGAGGTAGGGCTGAACGATTAATCGTTTTCAAATCGAAATCGTAATTGCAATATCTGGCAGAAAAATCACAATTAGATTTTCCCCCCAAATCATTCAGCCCTAAAATGAGGACAGCCTAACCTATAAAGACAAACTTTAACAATAATTCAGCAATATGAGCACCTAGCAGACTTTTCAGAGGGTGAGGGCACTTAGAGGCGACAACAATAAATCCAACATACCCTCACTCACAGACCTTAGGCACCTTTTATGCCCACTTTGAAAGCTACAACTGCTTCTACGAGTGCAAGAGATTGTTAGGGACCTTACCTACCCCTGAGCAGACAGACCCCGCCCTCATCACAGAGGAGGACATCAGACGGCAGTTGGCGAGGTGTCCTGATGGTCCTTTAGCCCTACCAGCTATATACAGCGTGCTAACCTCGAAAATCCAGCTGCATTCTAACATTAACTTAGCTCTCCTTTGTAGCTAGGCTCCTTGCATGCTGGCTGATAACTTTTTGTAACCTGGGTCTCCGACATTGACAGCTTTGTGTTGGACAGATCTGTGCAGCTGTGTTCCATGAGGGAGAGAGAGCTTGAGAGGTACGGGTGAGAGGAAGTGCTACGCAAATGCGCTACGGCGCTCTGCAATCAAGTATGATTTTAAATAGGCTTAGTAAAATAAAATTGAAAATCTATCTGTGGCGGTCAGCGTTGATATTGTGGCGGGCTGCCACAAATAAATGAATGTATGGGAAACACTGCATTATTTCTTTCAAGTTTAAAGGCTGATTTTTACTCTTGAGTGAAAATTGAAGAAACCAGATGGTTAATTATATGGTTAAACACTTGATGCCAAACAGTGGATCACTTCACAAGTCTGAGGTAGAACATTCAAAACTATTATCGTTTAACAAATATGATTAGTAAATCTTTTTTCCAGGCCTCTTTTTTTCAACAAAATAAATATTTTAATAGAAAAATTAAGAGCTAATTTGTTCGTTATTCAAATGAATTAAAGCAATATTTACTGACGATATATTGAACACGTATTATATTGTTATTGAGGTTATTGCAATAAGTATCATTGTTTTATTGCCCAGCTCTACTTTATAATAACAAACAGGTTTGTGTCATTTCCTGTTTCACGTGTGTTTTCTTGTCAAAACCTGGTTTGGAGACCAGCATCCTTGTGACAGAGTCGTTGTCAGCTCGTGTAGAGTGTGACCCCCTGGCACCGATCAGTCATATAGTGTAAACGCCACAAAGACTTCAAGACTCCTGTAACAAGACAGCATGTTGTGTAGTGTGAACAGCACGGCGATTGCTGACGCTGAAAGTCGTGTAGTCTGCACAAGCCTTTAGATAGATCTAGAAGAATCTAATTAGAGGTGCGAGCTAACTATATTAATAACACTGTCCTTGTAAGTGGGAATTCAATTTCATTCTAAACTGACCCAGAATCCGAGTTAACAGATTCATTTCAGCTTGGATGTTTCAAAGTACCCCTATTTAGCATTTCTAAGCAGTATTCAAA